ATTATGACTGTATGATAATAATTACATTCTTCTTATTCAATATTTTCGTCGTCGTCACCGCAGCTGCCGTCATCATCTAAATTCTATAACACTTAAATCGATCATTAAAAAAACAAATAGATTCCATATAATAGGGTATAATAATTGTGGGTATGGTATAACATCATAATTATATGGGCATGAAACCACAGCATCATGTCCATATGGGTGTAAATTACATACATTTATATATAAAATTTAAAGGTGTGGAAAGAGCTTTAGTTTTTCTGCGTTATTGTTCTGTTTGGCAGCTAGTCCACCACCGGTCCTGACTAAAAAGCCTCAGTTAGTGTTAACAGAAGAACAATTTTCAAACATGACATTTGATGTAACATGGTTTGGTGATGGAACAGAGTTGCCCGCAGCAAGTGTTTCTTTGACAACGGAAAAAATGGCACCCCTGAAGCAACAACAAATTGGTGACGAATTTGATGACAATTAGGCGATCACTGTAAGTGTGTAAAACAATGATAAACGATTGATAGAACATCAATATTTAAATAGGATAGATAGAAAACAATTTTTTCACAGATTTATAGACATTTAACTACAAGAATCCAATATAAGAAATGACAAATCTTACTTTCTATATAGTTATATATCAGACTAATTCATATATAAAATCTTACGATAACGTTGATTATCAATGAATGTACGCGAATATGAGGAATAGGCCTACATCATGCATAACTGGTGTTGAAATCCAAATTTACTATTTTTGTATTTGTTTTAATGTGTAGATGACCTGCAAATTAAACGCTCACTTCATTTACCCTGATGGATCACAGAAAAGTCCAAACAGCCAAACTTTGGAAAGTAATGAAGTACATCTGACTGTTGTAAATTCGTGGCCCCAACATAGTTACTTAGGCATTATCATTTAATATCACTTGACAGCCAGCCCAAACAAAGCATGCATGAATTCATCGATCATTACCAATTAAATCTTTGAATCTAGGCATAATCTGATAAAATCAAATCATCGAAATATGTATATGACTGAACTAAAATTCATTGCTAACAGTAGGGGATGTTATCCGTATCTACTGTGGCTTGCTTTTAGATGATGCAGCTGACATCAGCAATGAGGAGCAAATGTTTGCTTTCATCCAATATTTTGATGAGGATACAGGTGGAATAGAATGCAAATACCTGTTTATTGCAAATGTGCTGGAGAAATCGAGCACTCCAGTCATTTCAGATCAGCTGCGTACTCTGCAGAAAAAAAGCAAACTTGAATTGATTAGCCACTGATGGTGCAGCAGTTATGATCAGCAAAAATAACGGTCTTGCTGCCTTACTGAAGACAGACCCAGATGCTTTTGATAAGCTATATATGCAGTGTGCAAGGACATGTCTGTATTATTGCAAACACTAAGAGCAGTCTCTTTTATGGTCTGTTGAAGAAATTCTCCAAAACCAAGAAAGGGCGTTATTTACATTCTAAAGGATGTTCTTCCAATTCTTAGTCATTTAATCGGGCAATTTTCATTAATTTTATTGTTAGTCCTTGAAAATGTAGAGACTACAGTATTTGGTTTCTTTGTTGCAACAAATTGAAAAGTATCATTGCCAAAATTATGAATCTTGATCATTAATATAAAAGTCATGAGTGAAGCCATTAATTTTTGTCCTTTTTTTCTTTATTTAAATTATCGTAAACATTGATCAAATGTTTCACATTTCAACAACTAAAGGACAATGCATTGTCTCCTGGTGGGACCAACAAGATCAAGCATATATCATCATTCATGATTATGATATTTTTGACCTTGTTCCTGTGCAACACATTACTACTATACTACAAGAATTGAAGATGTAGTAGTGTATTGTAGGCATAGGTCCTCCTGCACTGAGGTTGCCTGGTTAAGGATCCGTGATGTATTTCTACAAACAGTAGTAATGCATATGGTACCAAGCTGAAGCAAAATGCAAGAAATATTGAACACACTACTACTTGGACAAAACTACTTGGACACTGTCACCCATGCCAGTGTAGCAAGCTTGTTTTTCTAATTTAGAGACTTAATTTAGTATATTACACTCTACATGCACTATCACCACCACTCACCTTGCAGCTATGTTATTAACCACTCAGCATGCTACAGAGGGTGACTAAGGATCAAAGGGTACAATAAGACAAAAATATTCTAGCACACTATGAAAGTTAGATACACTACAGCAAGCAAGCAAGTAGTTCACGCAAGCCAAATTATATGCCAAAAGCATGCAACATCTTAAAAACATAATAAAAAATAAAGTAGAATTGTCATTTTATGCCAGAAAAAATTATTATGTGAATGAATATATGACAAAGTTATCATCCGAAATTGCAGGGTGTCTTCTGCAGCATGTCTAGTCCAAAATTCTAGGTTTTCTTCCTAGAACGAAAAAAAAAAAAATAATAAAATAAAAATAAAAAACGGAATCAGTGATTTTAAACAATAATGGGAAATGGCAAAATTTAAATCGGAAAATATACATCCCTACCTTATAAGTGTAAAACTTTTCTATTATAAACACAAGTAACAAAGATAGGTTTGATAGTCATGAAGTGAATGTGTCGTCACTTTTGCCAACAAATCAGCATTGATAGTCCAGATTGTAGTACCATACATTTTATTTTTGATGTGATCTCGTGATTTGCAGGAACATATTTAGCAAAAAA